GAAGAATTAGGAAACAGTCATTGTTTTGATGCATAGAAAGTGTAGAATTAAACGTTCAAAAAACGATTCACATTTGTGAGAAAAAAAGAGAATTAAAGAAAGTTAATGTTTTCACACTTGTTCTTCTTGCAAAAATTATTTTCTGCCGTGTGAAACTTTGTATTTTCCGTAGGCAAGAAAATGTCGAGTTTCTCGTGACTTGTCTGCTGAAATAGTATAGATATTCATGCTATATTTGCATTCATTCTTTCATTTTGATCTATTTCATCTATTGTGTTTAATTAAAGACAGAACGAACAAAATCGACGACGGCAATCACAAACATGTTTTCATCATTCGTAAGACTTCATTTTTCATTCCTGATTTGGGTTGTGATTTATCAAGCACATGGCAAAAATATCACTTTTGTTCCACAACCAATTCACCTAACTGTTGATAATCTTCCACCACCATATGCTACACCATCGGGACTAAAGGAGCTCGAATCGTTTCTGTACCTGAAGATCCTCTCCTTTACATTCCTGAAGGATTCACTGTGAAGGTATATATGACTGGTCTTGCATCACCACGTTATCTTATATATACACCTACAAATGATATTCTCGTTAGTGAACCAAATGCTAATCGAATTTCTTGTCTGATCGATAATAATCGTGATGGTTATCCAGATGAACGTGTTACGTTTGCTGATACATCGAATGGACTCAATTATCCATATAGTATGGCTTTTGTCAATGGATACTTTTATGTTGGTAACAGAGATGCTACTCGACGTTATTTGTGGACTCCAGGAAGTCGAAATATCACAGGTACAGGAGAAATAGTAATGACTTATAATCCAAATGGACATATTACAAGAACAGTTGTTCCATCACCCAGTGGCGATCGAATCTTTGTGGGAATTGGTTCAGCAACGAATGTTGATGTTGATCCATTACCTCGAGCTTCTGTTCAACACGTGAACCTTGATGGTAGTAATCAAACAACATTTGCTTATGGTCTAAGAAATTCTGTTGGTGTAGCATTTCATCCAATTACTAATCATTTATATGTGACATGTCAAGAACGAGATGGACTTGGTGATGATCTTGTCCCTGATTTTTTTACACGTATTGAAGAAAATGATTTTTATGGTTGGCCATTTGCTTATATGAGCTCAAATTTGACTGATCCTAGACGACGTCTTCCTAATGGAACAAGTGAACGACCTGATTTAGTATCAATAACAAAAACACCAAATGTGCTTTTTGAAGCGCATTCAGCTGTACTTGATATGCGATTTTATACAAATAATCAATTTCCGAATCGATATCATAATGGTGCTTTTGCAGCATTTCATGGTTCATGGAATAGAAATAATGGAACCGGTTATAAGATTATTTTTATTCCATTCAATAGTAGCACTAATGAACCGATGGGTTACTATGAAGATTTTGTGTATGGATTTCTGACATATCCACCTTGACCTGACACATTCGGACGACCAGTTGGATTACTTGTTCTAAAAGATGGTAGCCTTTTATTCACTGATGATGGAAATAATCGTATCTACCAAGTACAGTACAGTCAAAATCCTGTTACTACCACTATTACAAGTCCTATTACCACTAGCAGCAGTGGTACCAATGCTAAAACTGCCATCGTTACATTTATTTATTCACTCTTTTTATCTTTCTGGTATCTCGGCGTTTTCGTTACTATATTTAGTTAAATACACTACTTCATTGTGATTCCACTCCTTGTTTGATGATTCGAATGTTTTTTTTTCGTATTCTCGCCATTGTTTTCTTTTCTCTTAGTAGTTATCTGTTATTTATCATCTTATTTCGAAGTTTATAAATGTGCATCAATACGTTTCTCATATCTATATCAATATGATACTCTATTGTCTTTTTATTGTTATGCTACCACTTTTTCTGTTTCTTTGTTTCTAACCTCGCTCATTATGTACTCAATATAAATAAATAAAGTAATTATGAATTCAATTACATCCATATTTCTTCCGGTCCTTTTTACTATTTTCTAATGATCAATACCAAAAATGATTCTAGCTTCAATATCTTCTTCTTCCAGAATGAAAAACAAACAGATTTTAGGTAAAGTCAAAACTATTATTTGTTTCAGTATAATAATCGATACAGACCGATTAAAATTGTTAAAAATTGATATCAATGTCGTTTTTTTCGTTTTTCTATGTTATAAAGGGAAATTCCTCATATCTTCTTTGAAGTTCGTTAGTTGAACATCAGTTTCTCATGATATACAGAAATAATCACATACACAAGAATCGTCTTCGTTACTATTTTCTCACTTTTACATTTACTAGAATGAAAGAACTTTTTTATAAAATAATATATCATACTAATAGTCATCACTCGATCTGAATCATACGTGACGAAACGAATTTCTTTTCAATAACCAATCAGCTTTTCTAGAAGGTATGGTTCTTGCATGTTGCTCTTCACCAAACTATCAGTAGAATAGATCTCTGTTACCACATGTCAGTTTACAAGGATATTTCAATAGAAAAAGAAATCAAACATTCAAGCAATGAACCTGAATCCAAGAATCCGAAAAAAATACCTTAGATGTTTTCTCCTACTTCTCACAGAATTAAGGTATGGATGTAGGTATAGGTGGAAGTGATATGATGTAGACCCACACCCACACCTACGTTCATCCTTAGATAGGTCTTCTTGTACCTCATTTTGACTTTTTTCTATACACTACTACCTAAGATAGGCTAGATCTATTTTCTGATGCTATATTACCTTATTCAGAATCGGTAGAAAAAAAAGCCAATTTGTTTTTTTTCGATCTGTGTTTATTTATAAGAAGAAGGTTTAGCTGCTTTTATTGATATAATGTACAAGTTTTCTCGTAGTTTCATTTTGATGGTCACCGTTTTAAAAGTATCCTATTGTTTGAAACTGATTTCTATCTAAACGAATTCTGTTTCTACTCAGTAATAGCTCACAAGTTTATTTTATAATCAAACTTTTGAATATTTCATCACGTTTATAACTATCAGACTCATGAGAGGAATTCAGATGATACTAAATTATACTAAAATAATATGAATTTTACCTATAACCTTCTCTGAACCGTTAGAGGTTTCATACACGACAAAGTAATTTTTTGTGTGATTTTACACGAAATTAAATTTAAGTGAGAGTTTGGTATGACGGTGATCCGTTTAAAATTTAGAATTGCTTTGAACTGTAAGAATTTTGGTTAGAATATGTTTCCAACAAAATGGCAATTGTCGAAAAACACCGACAAAGTTGTATGTCTAACCAACGAACACGACAGACTGATTCGTTGCTAGATCGGAATGTAATGGTTAAGAATACGAATCTTGTTGATATATCTCATGATGATTTTGTTCTGAATGCTGAATGAGTTGAGTCTTTTTTCACTTTTTTATAAGGTATATATTATAACTATAGATGTCAGATACAGTCGTATTTCATCTAAAACCTATACATCCGGCTAGACTATTAAAAGATTTCCTCGGTTTTCACTTTGTCAACGATTGTAAAGAGAAGCGAAATTTCGATTCTACGGGCTAATCACTTACCGTTTTTCGACACGCTATATTAAGAACTAATCGAGACTGCTTCAATCTGCTTGAATTTCTTGCCTGTTTTTGATCAATATCAAGTCAAAATTTCGGATTAGCTTACTACTAGTAGTTAGTTGATTTTTTTGAAAAAATACTTACAGAGATATATAAAAAGTAAAAGAAACATCTTTGAATTGGAAATCAAATCAGAATCTTGAAAAGACTGCTTCTGAAACCAAAAGCGCTTTGTATATGAATATGAAACCTTCTGAGACTTATAAAAATTGATAACGAGGGGAAAACGGTTCTGTAGTGACACGCACGACATTTCTTTAGGATTTCAGATATTGTACGCAAACGAAATTTTTTTAGGTTTTGTGACATATCATTATGTACGGTGTATGTTACATTGCAGAACACATTTTTGCCAACATAGTGGAAAATTTTTTTTGAAGTGGAAAGAAAATTTTTAACAAGATTTTAGAAAAACGCTTCCGAACTGCAGCTATTGGAATTCATATTGAAAATAAACACCGAATTATAGAAAAATCTCAAATTTGAAACATTTTTCACGATTATCCAGATGCTGAATTTCTATCTCAAGACAAAAAAGTCTCTTCAACGAAAGCTTGAGGGAAATATGAAATCCCTTGTATCGAGATAAAAAATGTGAAGGATAGAATGGCTGCTGTTGGAAACAATAACATTTCTTTGTGAGAATTATCGTAACATTGTTCTTTCTTGCCGAAAAGGGCAGGCGAATCCAAAGGATGAGCGCTAACTTGTCAATATAATCTGTATAAAGAAAAAAAATGTTCATCTCAATAATAAGTATTGCTGCTAGCACATGTACCAAGTGAAGCGAAAATGAGTTGATAGAATATGGTATGTACATTATAATGAATTTTAATTAAATAAAATAGTCTAATTCATCTTTGCTCGAAGAAAATCTTCGATATGAATAAAAAAAATGTTTGATTTGTGCAGCTGTTATTATGGAGTCGGCGCTTGACTTTATATTCTGTCATTGCTATAATTCATCAACTGACGTCAACAGAAGCAATTCAACACTATGCATAAACACACAGAAATATTTCGTAAGACATGCATTGTTCTTGCGTAATTACTTCTTCTGATATATTTTATAGACTTTTTTTTAATATTATTTTCTTTATTCGATCGAATCAAGTATCTTTAAGCAGAAGGTTATTACACTAATATGTCTTGAGTATGGGTGTAAAATAGAATATTCGCAGTAATTACACCCACACCCTCAACATTCAAAATTGATGAAAATCGTCTACTAATGATGAATTTTTTGTGCTACTGAGTATGCTCTCTTTGAATCTATCAAAAACACTTTGCAGATACTTTCAAAGTGACAACATTGATAATGAATCAGAATAATAAATCCATTTTTGCTTTGTTTAGATAAATGAATGACAAGGCAATATGGCTTGATTATTTTACATCGATTGATATTCAGTCGAACAATGCTATTTGGATTAGTCACAGATCATCAGATGATGAACTTGATGAAGAAGAGTTGTTAACACGAACAAAATGGGCATGGAATATTGGACAAAATGAAAAACAATATAGAAGTGAACATGGTTTGATATTCGAAGTCTCTGTGCCAATATTATTAAATCGTCATTTTCTTGTACATGAATCAAAACAAGTACGGCAATCGTCTTCCAAAGTACCATTATTGATATTTTTTCATGGTTTAAATTCATCAGCATGGTTTATGGCTTTAGTTCGAACAAAATGGATTGAAAAAGCAAATATCAACAATTTTTTAGTTGTTTTCGGTCAAAGTCAAGGTAAACAATTTCGAAAGGGACCTAAATATAATCAACATGGTATATTACAATTTGGTGATGATTTATCTTGAGAAATTCAAGAACCAAATGCAGATTTCATCTATTTTGATTATATTCTTGAATATATGAAAGAGCACTACAAAGAAAAATTAGATTTATCTCGTCTTTATTATGTTGGTTATTCCAATGGTGGTTTTATTCAGTTCGAATGTTGCTATTCATTATGGTGAACATGTATTTAGTGCAATTTGTAATCATTGTGGAGGTAACAGAGGTTTAGGATACAAAGATGAAGAATTACTCAATTTGAATATGATTAAGAAGTCACTACAGATTTATATATTAACTGGTATGAGAGATAATTATTTGCAAAGTTGTGCAAAAGCGAAAAAGATATTTGAAAATGTTGCATGTTCTGTAACAATAGAGATTATGAACAATAGAGGACATCGATATTATGTAGATAAAGAAACAGATATTTGGAATTTTTTAAGTTTACATCAAATCAAAGATGATCAATAAATTTTTTCCGAAGAAATTTCCATTTATCATATCGAATTGAAAATAATGTCTCGACAATTATTCTTAGCTCTGATCAATTTGATCATAAGCTTAACTATAGAATTTTTTTTCAACAAATAGTTTTGAGAAAGAAAAAACGAGAGGGTGTGAGTATAAGTTTTGGTGGTTATTGGTGTACTTTGTAATCTGACTCACACCCACACCCTATCCAACCAAAAGAAAATAAACTAAAAACAAATTTATCAACTAGGGCCTCATTTTGAAACACATTCTCAAATACATACTCAAATCTAGTGTTTGATCCCAAACTGAAATAACTATATATTGTTGAAATATAAAACTATTCTTGTTTTTTTTCTTCTTTAAATGATGCATAAAAGCAAGGTGCTGTGTATATCATATCATAACTGACGAAGTAACAGCTGGAGAATAAATATTACTCGTTCTTATCTTTTTCAGATATAACAAACAAGTATTAATGGTCATATCTCTTCATTCTTTGTCTTGTCATTTCTACGTTTGCAAATAAAAGTATAACATGTCATCATCGTTTATTGATCTTCGTTCAGATACAGTAACAAAACCAACAAATGAAATGCGTCAAGCAATGTTCAATGCCGAAGTAGGAGATGATGTTTATGGTGATGATTTTACTGTATTAAAATTACAAGAAATGGCAGCAAAATTATTAGGAAAAGAAGCAGCTTTATTTGTTCCATCGGGAACAATGGGAAACCTTATTTGTATTCTCAATCATTGTTTAGAATTCGGTTCAGAAATGATATTGGGTGATGAATGTCATATGCACATATATGAACAAGGTGGATGTGCAACACTTGCAAGAATTCATTCAAGAACAGTTCCAACACAACCAGATGGAACACTTCTACTTAAAGACATTGAACAACGAATTCGAACAGTAAAAGATGATCATTTTCCTGTGACGAAACTTGTCTGTTTGGAAAATACACATAATCGAATGGGAGGAAAAGTCTTGACTGTTGAATATATAGAAAGTGTTGGAAAATTGTGTCAACAATATGGATTAAAATTACATATGGATGGTGCAAGACTAATGAATGCAGCTGTTAAATTAGGTGTCGAACCAGCTAAATTAGTTCAATCTTGTGATTCTGTTTCATTTTGTTTATCAAAAGGCTTGGCAGCACCAATTGGATCACTCATCATTGGTACACATGAATTTATTGTACAAGCAAAACGATTAAGAAAAGTACTAGGCGGAGGAATGAGACAAGCAGGTGTTTTAGCTGCAGCAGGTATTATTTCATTAACACAAATGCCAAAATTATTAAAGTTAGATCATGAAAATGCAAAATTACTTGCTGAAGGATTATCAAAAATTGATGGATGTGAAATTAATCCTGAAAAAGATGTTGAAACAAATATGGTCTTTTTTATATTAAATTCTGATAAGCTTAAAATCGATGCACAAACATTTGCTAATATTTTAAAGAATGATTATAGAATATTAGTATCAGTACAAGGAAAATTCAAATGTCGATTTGTTACACATTATATGATTACAAAAGAAAATATTGAATATGTCGTAAAACAAGTTGGACATGTTTTAGAAAATAATAAAAATATTATTTAAAGATTTTTTATATTTTTTTCTACTGTGATACAAAAAAATACTAATAAGAATTATTAATATGATTTAATAAATATCATATCTGTCTCGTATTTTTAAATATTATACATTAAAAGGACATGGCCAATAAAATTACATAGTTTTTGACTCATCAAATTTTCATGAAAAAAAAAATACACCAAGCTGTCCCCAAAACATACCGACAAGTGTTATGTCATGCAGCTGACCATTTTCTAAAGTAATACATTTAGAATTTTGATAGAAATATAGATAAGAAGCATAGTAGAACTTTTATCGATAGATCAACATAAACAAAAAAGAAACTGAAGATATTCAACAATCTATTGCAATGTTATATAAAATAATTAAGCAGTTGATTCTTTACATGGAGGTATCATTCTGACTAGACGTTGGAAGAAGAATTTAAATTGATTTCTCATGAACGATAGAAACATTGTGTCAAACTTAAACAGTGTCCCTATATTCATATACTATGAAAAGAATTATCTATTTTAAATAGAATATTCATACATCAGTCATCTCTTAACGAGCATACTATGAAAAATATTTTTGCTCTACAGCTCTTTCTTAATCGAACTTATCTTAACAACTGCCATATTCTCTTCGATGAAATATCAGTATAAAGAACAAAACATTGTTTTCTAACATAACAAACACAATCAGTTGCTAGACTTTCTTCAATATGAAGATGACGATAATCATTTCGTCTATATCAAAAAATGTACATGAGTGAAAAGAACCAGTTTTGTTAGAGATTCAATGAGCACATCACAACTATATAAATAGGTGATCAAATCGATTGATTAAATGATGATCTGATTTAAGACAATGTGCATTGAATCGATAATTTTTGTCAAACAAACATCAGTTATCGGGTAAGAATATACGACAAGTGAACTAGAACACGCATCAATCGACCAAATAAATAATCATGTCTATTATGATATTGACCATCATTATATGATAATGATTGACCACTTGGTGATTGAGACAATTATAAATGTACGTCATATTCGATCGCTCGAGATATTTGCCAGTAAAATCATCGCTATTCTTTTTCATAATGTGTTCGTTTCTTTTTAAATTGCAAAAAATCCACTTTATCAGCACTAGAGCATACTCTGATTTAAGTAATAAAGGAAAATGTTCGACACATAGAATATTTTCTATTTACTTTTTCACTTGTTAAATGACGTAATAAAGCATGTAACTGTTGAAAGAAACAATGATTATTATGTAAACTAGTTATCCACAACAAGTAGATATATTGCGAGTGTAGGATATGAGTGTGGGTGAAAAGATGAGCCACATCAGTACCCACATCCACATCCACCCTTTCATTCAATGCCTACAGCTGATTCATGCAGTGCAAATAGCACATGTTGTTTTTTTGCCTCAACGTACAAAGCAAATCATATTCCTTTACCAAAATGCTTCACAAACTAAACTAACTGTGATTACATTTTGTAGTGATTCTCTAAGTAAGGTTTATATTGCACAAAAATAAAGTCATTATTGTCTTTTTCATACAATGATGATCATCAATATTCAATTTATAAACCATTAATTTATTAATATTGACAGCAAAAAGGAAATAATAAAGTATGATTCATACTGCAACAATGATGAAGAAATTACATAAAAAAATATATTTTCAATCATTAACTTCGAAAGCAACTTCGCTAACATTAGATACCATGGTTTTAGTACATTCTATTAATACTCAAGAATCTAGTCATAAAAATCCAATTCGTGTTGGTATTCGTCTTATGTTTCAACGTATCGATGAGTGGTCGATTGAAGATTATTGCTATTAAGTAGAATTATTAAGACTATATCAAAGTTTAATGATGGTTTTTTTTTCCATAGGAAATTTTTCTTGTATTTTTGGCATCAATGTATTGTCTCAAGGGAGAAAAAAAAACAATGAACTAATGTTTCTACAATTAATAAATCAATATTCATTTGACATGCTCATAGTAGAACTATGGTAAAAAATTAATAAAAACGTATAGCCTTCTACAGGCTACAGAAAAAAAACAACAGATACATTTCGAACTACTGAGAGCATCCTGAAAATATCACTTATAGACCATAAAACATTGTTGAAGAAATGCTAAATGCATTTCATGTGCTTTTGAGTAAGTGGAACTGAAATCTATTGGGATTTTTTTCTTAATATTATCTTCCGTTTAACTTCAAGTTTTCCATGGAAGTTAGCTGCTAAAGGTATTGTCTTTAGATAACTGCACAGAAATGTATTTGATCACTGGAGGAAAATGAAAAATTCAACTAGAGATGATAGTAGCACAAGATTGGCAATGGCCTCCGATTCCACTTATCCAAGAGTAGGATTATTTTTGTATTATAAATATGAGATCTAAAAAAAAATAATAGAACTAGCAATGAATAGAGAGCATAAGGCATGCCATGTTTTTCATTTGAGATGTGAATCTCTCGATTTTTTTTGGGCGATAAACAATGATACTTTCTTATTGAGTTTTCGCTTACCATTCCCTAATAAATATGCACAGTGAACATTTACTGGATTAGTGATGTACATATCAGTATATTTGGTAAAACATGCCGCAGGAAAATAATTTTTCCAATAGTCCAATGAGTTTTGATGGACTTTATAGCTAATTATTGAATCACTCATATAACGATAGGTCGTAATTAAGATGCTCATTCTTTTATTTCACCTCTATAATTGTGGAAGCATTTGATATAAAAAAAGCCTACAAGGTTAAAAAGAGTTGAGACAGAATGAATTAAATACTAATTGGACATTTCTTTTCATAATTGAAATGAGTAATATTATTGCTACCATTCGGTACTCTCGTCAAATGAAAATTTCATATTGAAAATCAACTGAAAAAAACTGTTCATTTATTCTTTAGTTGCATGATTATCGAAAACTAGACTTTCAGTTGTTTTAATCTTCAATTATCTTTTAAAATCAAATTCTTATCTCATTTCGTTGATGTCGATAGAACTATTCTTTCTTCTTTTTAGTCTGCCAACCTTAACAAAAGCTGACGCGAAGAAAAGTTACTGTTTCAATGTTGTGTATTTTTGTGAAACATGATTGTTATTAAGTCTTGAAATAGAGAATGAAAAAGTTAAGATTCTCTACCTTGCATAAGGTATTATAGAAAGACAGGATGAGGTCGATCAACTCCAACTCATATGTTTAGATATAAGGAGCTGATATATAGTTGAAATAGATCAGTTCTTAGAATTCAGTTGTCCGAAATTTTTTTCAGTTTTTCGAAGAGTATTTCCAATAAGAGAACATTTTCTACAGTTGTACAAATCGGAGAACCAGTTGATCCATAACAGAGAATAATGACATCACAGATCGTGCTATATAAATCACATATTATTAGGACTTATTGAGCTTGGAACTTTGAATTTTTCAAAAAAAATTGTGAAACATGATTATTAATCAATGTAGAGGTTCATAGGAAGAAGAACTTTCATTTAGGAGTGAAACAGAACTTGTCGTATTTCAAATTTTAATTCTACAGCAATGACGCTGACAGATTTTCTCTTGTAAGGTGAAATTAATATATTGGCTGAAAAAAAATCAAGCACAAGCATCAATCGAGCTTGTTGATTAGTTAAATCAACTGATATATTATCAATTTTTTCGCCAACTGATCAACAGCTTTTACATCATGAACAATTTGAATCCCTTGTCAAATATGCAGATTCTCATTGCCATTCTCAATTATTCATTGAAAATGCTCTTGAAGATCTTAATGAATAAATAAGACTTAATGAATAAATAAGATACAGTGCGAAAAAAAAACAGTGAACGATCAAATCTGCATATGTGAACATCGTGATGTCAAAGGATTATTTTGCGAAAAAACTTGAATGGCATCATTTTTAATCTTATATCCAAAAACTAACAATATCTATGGGTTCAATGTCCTATAATGACAAAATAATACTGATATCAGATCCATATTATCATAGTGGAACAAACCGTGAAGTATTTTTTGATCAACTGGAATGGCCATTACATGAACATGTTGATACATAACAACTAGGAAACTTCAAAGTGGTCCCGATTCCGACGGGATTGGGACCAAGACCACTTTGCAGTTCCCTATGTCATACAAGTTAATATTCTACTAAATATAATAAATAAGTTCTTGAAATAAATATGTTTTCTATTTAGCATGTCGTTATGGTTATGAACTCATAATAAGTAGTCATGTTCATTTGGTTATATCGACTATCACTTGCTCGTAGACAAGAAATGGAACAAAAAGATGTCGAATACAGAAGAAAAATAAACAAACAATCAAATCAAGGATGATTACTTATTAAAAGAAAACACGTGTTTGAAGTATTCGATAAGCATTAAAAAAAATAGACACATGCCATCAGAAATAAAGCAAAACTAAATAATATTTTATCTATGTTAATCTATTAAAATTTTATGCTTTAGAAACAATTTATGTTATTTAACTTATGAGTTTTTGCTTTAATTAATCAATATATGTATCTATTGTAATCGACTAAGTATGTAGCAAGAAAATTATTTGAATCATTGTTAGATGTGAGTATAGATTTCATATCTCAGACGAGATGGAAAATTTTGTATTTTTCCACTCAATATGAATAAAAGAAAGCCGTCTATCTGACAATGATTGTAATTTTCAAATATTTCAAAATTATTTCATGAAATGCTGACAACGTGCATACCGCTAATACTAATAACGAATTTATTGTTTTGAAAGTTCTACAATTTTATTTTCTAACTTAATTAGATATAATAATTGAAGATAGAATAATTTATTTAATGTAAATAACGAGACAAATATTTTAATTATATATATATGTCTTCATTTGATACAGCAATATGGGAAAAAAATTTTCATTTTTGGAGGATTGTATTCGTTTAACTATGTTGGTGAGTAAATCTCAATATTTTGAAAACAAAATTAATAAAATATGACTTTTACTTTTTGAATTATTGAAAATTTGAGATGCAATTGAATATCTTGTGTAATTATATGAAATAGATAATTTAATTGATAAATTGAATCTAATATATCTGATGATTTGAAATGTTGGAGAATATTTGATGAAAATTTTATTTTATAATAATTCAAATTTTTTCTTGGTTTATCTATTATTCAAAAGTGAAGAAAATTTTCTATGACAAAAACGAAAAAAACTTGTTTGATCAAGATCAGAACAGAGAAAAATATACCATTTATGTTTTTTTTGTCAAACAATGAATGAATCATTTTCTTGTTTTATTTATTCTATTTAATAATAATAATAATGAATATGATCTCTAAACAATTATTCTTCATCGAAAAAAACGACTCCGTAATTGATTAATCTCCATATTATATTAATCAAAAATAAAATAATTAATATTTTAAATCAAATGAAAAAGTATACACAAAACCAAAATTTTCAACATTATTTTCCTTATTAAGATTTGATCAATCTATTATTGATCGCTTATTAGCAGTAATAAATTGATCATAAAATAAAAATAATGTCCATATACAAATAACTTCAAGCAATTTCTTCATAACAATAAAAACAGAAGAACGTAAGAGAAAAAAAAAAAGAATGATTCATGATGATTCATGTTTTTGTTTTCATTCTGTCAATTTGTTTCGTTGATCTACTGTGCATTTTGTGCTTGTCATGCCAGTATATAATGATGAAGAACACATAAGAAAACTCATACTTACCTGCCACGGATGCATTCATGATCATAAATATGCATGCTCCAGGTTGAGGCGCGGACATTGCACATCGTCTCCGCTGACACCTGCGAAAAGTCCAAATCGGATTTTCTCGAGTGGAGAATTTATTACGCGGTCATTTGCGTTCGCGCATTGGCCATTCAATTCATTATAAAATGTAATCTATTTATATTTGAGTTTGACAAATACATTTACGTTAAGAAATGTACTTCAACATCTTTATTTAATCATACACTTTTGAATATAGATGTTCTTTAGAAAAGTAAAGTCTTACTTTCTTCTCTACTACTTGAAATTTGTATTTGAAATTCTGAAGACATTCCATTTTTTGTTTGATTAAATATTATAATTTCACGTAGAATTTTACTCTTTTAAAATTTCATTGATTCAAAATGATTTTTTTTTATTATAAAACTAAATCATCAATTAAAATTCAAGAGGGTGTAGGTTCGTTTATTAATGTAAATATCAGCAAATGGAATGATATCTAAATATGACAATAATCGACATAATAATGAAAATTCAGAAAAAAGTTATGTTTGAAAAGAAATTGAATAAAGATTAAAATATTCTCATCAATTTTATTATTGATGTTTTATTTTCTTTTTCTGTTTGTAACAAAAATAATATTTAGTTATTCTCTGCTTGAAAAATATTCAAAAGCGCCATTATTAAAATCTATTTTAGTTTTTTGAATTGACATATTTTATAATAATATATGACAGAAAAACTAATGAATAATGATAGTCAAGTTTGGTGTATTCCAAACGATTGGTAAGAATATCTATTTGATATAACAACGTTTGATCACATAATTTATGTAGGAAAAAACAATTCTAAAATATTTATGTTTTTCAATTTTTGTTACCATTTGCAAATGATAATAAACAAAAAAAAAAGTATTTTGTACTTTCAGAAATTTTTACCTTCCAAAGTCGATTATAAATGTCCTGATTATGCTAGATAGTTGATATTGTTAAAATTAGAATCTTTATTATGAATAAAAACATCAAATTTTTTTGAATTATAAATCATCTCTACGGGAAGTATACAGGAGAAAAAAATTCAATAGATGCATTACATTCTTGATTCAATATTTATTTTAAAAAAACCTAAATGAAGTGAAGAGATAAAGCATCTTATCTCTCTTGTTATAGATAAAATGAGCTAATTAAGAGTAAATAAAAGACCAAAGTATCTTCAAATTAAATACTCTTCTCATCATAGAACGTCACTATCTATTTATAAATTATTCAGTATCTGCGTGTGTCTTTGTGCCGGGTCAAAGGTCAAATAAGGCTATAAGGAGCAGACCCAAGGGCTATTATATGGGGGTACCCATAGGTCCTGAAGGAAATATGGCAAGACGAGGGTAAGGCAATAAGGGGATAATGCTACAAGAGCTACCAGGAATATAAGGCTATAAGACCGAAGGCTAATGGACTATAAAAATATATGCGATATAAGAGTATGAGGCCGTAGGGCTACCTATCCGTATACATAATATCGAGTGTCTGTATGTCCGTCACCGGATGGAAAGTTAAACGTTTGACGTCATACGTTAGAGAAAAAAAAACAGCCGTGCAGTATGCACGGGTTCTCGCTAGTCTATATGTATATATCATGTCGAATGTATGAAAAAAAACACAGCATAGATTGATATAAAGTGTGCGTATCTGTAATTGTAAGACAATATTTACACTTCAAAACTCGAACTAATTAACGAAAGAAAATTTATCTGTTGATAACACAACAAACGACAGCTATATAAATCTTTTTTTTGTAGTGTTCCATTTATAGCAGTAAAATTTCACATTTTCAACATCAATTCTTGATTCAAAAAAGAAAAATATTTTAAGGCTGCTCTATCATGGCATCAACGACATATAAATCTTGGTTATGAATTTGTATTGGATACAACCGATAAAATTCTCACACAAATTCGTGATTTAATAGATATAGATGAAGTAAACTGATTTTTTATTTTTAATTTAATAAAAATTTTTTTTTTCATATTAATTGATTGATAAATGGCGATCAATTGTATTCAAACTAGTTGAACGTACACTTGCTAATTCAGTAATTTAATAATAATGATGGTTCCTTTTTCTTTTTTTTATTTATTGATATTTTTCATAGCCACGTATTAATCAAGATTTACTTATAGCAAATATATCTGAAAAGATTTTTTTTGATTATCGATCAATCGTAAGAAAATCTAATTAATTGAATATTTCTTTTTTTGTTTTTATTGACATATCTAGAAAAGAAATATTGATGAAACATATGAACAAGGTATTAATGAAGTATTCAATCAATATAAATATATAATTTCTTCACGAGTAGCTAATGGTGATGTAAACGATTTTTTAATTTGTAATTCATTTGATCACAAAAATATAATTTAATTATAGATACCTGATCAATGTGTGAAAGAAATTATATGTGCAATTGAACAATTTAAAACTCGTCTTTTAGCTCGAGCAGGAAAAGTAAAAAGATACAAAACAATAGATAATGATAAGTTTTTTTGTCTATAATTAGATGATGAAAGGAAATATGATTGATGAAATATTTAAATTGACTCAAAATCATTTAAAAGAAAAAGGATATGTAAATTTAATTTTAATAAAATTTTTAAAAAAAATGTTTTTTTGAATTGTTTGTTTGTTTTTCAGGATTCGAAAAAATTGGATTTAATCAAAGATGAATTTAAACAATTAATGAATAATCTATCAGAGAATAATGAATTTGTATAGAATTATTAATTCTTTTTCATTTATTTTTAAAATTTATTAGATTTTTAGAATAAATTAGATAATGTGAAAAAAGCATGTAGAATAATTATTATTCAATGATTTTATTTTCTTAATTGATTTTCAATTAGCTTTTCTTCAAGATAAACTTCAAAAAATGATTTTAGATAAATATGATAATGATCCAGTAGATTATTTTACAATATTTCGATGTTTGAAAAGCTTTTTTTTTTATTATTATTATTATTATTAGAATGTACAAACTATTGCCGATAAAACTCGATCGTCTACTTTACCGATTATGCAAAGTCATATGGAAAAATTAAAAGTTAATCAAGAAGTTCAATCATATCAAACAGGACAACAAGAACAAGGAGGTCCTATGAAATCTGAATCTAATATAACTCCAAAAATTCATTCATCTTATCAAAGAACAAAAAAATCGAATTCAGATTATGATACAACTTCTTCAATAACAAAAGTAATATTTCGCATCTATTCGAATCAAGATTGAAACTATTCGATAATCACTAGGGATGTACCGAGACCGAACTGAGAATCTCGGTGCGGATAGTCTCGGTCGAAAAACTGAAAAAATAATAATTTCGACCGAGAGTGAATACAATGCTTACCTAGGAGAAAGAACGAATAAGAAGTTAATTGCATTCGAGACCGAAACTAACCGAGCCCGAGAGGCTCGGTCTCGGTATATCCCTAACAATCACTTAATCAATTAGGGAAAAGCTAGAGTATGTCAATGGGTTTTTTTTCCGGTTTCAGAATATTAAAAATTCAAAAAGAAGGAGATTCAAAATGATTATGATTTTTTGAACAGTCGCTCATTTTAATTCGTTATATTCAGAATGAATATTAAGATAATTACTGGGTACTTTTTGTGATTGTATTTTGTCTTCGTACTATATGTATATGAGTTTGAAAATGTACTTATAATTCTTCAATATTCTTATTTAGCATATTCCTAATGATTTCAATGAAAAAGATCAACAGAAAAAAAAACATAAACAAAAGCCTCATCATTCTCGAAAAAATAATGATTATGATAGGTAACTTTTTTTTTTGTTGTTATTTCCTTGTAAATCATTTCATGATTATATTCTAGTCAACAAATATCAAATACCATTATTCCATTTACTAGTAAATAAATTTTCTTCTTTGATAGAGGAAAAAACATTTCTTTTATAGATTGTGCTGATTATGATCCATATCGAAATTATGAGCAATATAAAGCAAAACGTTTACATAACAATAAACAAAAAAATGTCTATTAAATGTTGTTTGTTTTGTTTTTTTTTTTTTATGAGTTAATATAGAAATATTTTATAACGAATCAACTCGACATACAATAACTAAAATATCATCTCTTCCATTGGCTATATATCCTGAAATAGAATAAATATATTTAATTATTATTACAAAAAAACAAATTATCAATAAACTATACCTTCAACCGCTTGACTCAGAAGATCATCAGCTAAATCTTGTATATGCTTGAAAATAAACAAAGAAGTTATTATTATATACATGATTAAAATAATTTAGAGAGATAAATTACTTTATTCGTATTTCGTTTCACAATTTGATGTAATTGATCATTTTTAATTACATCCCATAGACCATCTGACGATAAAATAATCATATCATCTTTTTGAACTTCAACTGTATCCAATGAACAATCTCGTAATACTTCACTAAAAATTAAAATCATAGAAAAAAAAAACCATCGAAGTCAATTTATAACTAATCCTATCAAGAAAATTTACTCTTCTCAGTGTTTTAGTTCATTTAATAAATGTATTATCATTCTTAGATATCGTCATCATTATGAAGCCTCGTTATAATATATAAACTATTTTCTTATTGTATTTCTCGAGGATAAAGCAAAAAGATAGTAAAAAAATGCGTTTACAAAATAATCTACCTGTGATTAGAAACAGCAGCTGAGATACTCATGTCATAGTTTTTATCGCCCCATAGGGCTCATGGGTAGGGTCCCCTACCAGAGATGTACATGGGGAGCGCGGCGGCGGTAGCGGCAACGTTATTTTTGGAGGGCATTTTAAAACTGTGTGAATTTATAGAATTTCTATGTTTTTCAAACGAAATAGCTTGCGACTGACTGAATCTAGTGGACACATACCAATATTTCTGGTTAAATACAGTCGCAGCAGTGAAACCCAACAGTGTTTTGAAAACCATCGCGGCAGCGGCAGGTTTTCAACTGCGATGGACATCTCTGGCCCCTACAATCAGTTTTGTGGCCTTTCCCATCGATGGAGAGACTGAGTTTTTGAAATCCAGTTTACCTCCGATCATGGGCCCAATAGATGGGCACATGGGGAAACAAAAAGAAAAGATTATAAATAGAAATTTCATAACAAAACATTTATCATATTTCAGAAAAAAAAATAAGCAAGTTGTTTTCATCAAACAATCATTGTTATTTTCTTGAAATTCATTTCACATATTTACTTGAGTAAGATATATAAAGAGAGACAAGTATGTACAACAGAAAAAGACATGACTGAAATTCAAAAGAAAAAACAAAAAGAAATTTCTCCTTGAATTGTTTATTAAGACTGCAATAACATCATTTTACTTCATTCGTATTTGCAATTCTAATTGCATGAGCAAGTAATACATTATCTAATTGAGCAACACCCAATCAAATTTCTTCGTCCAGTAGTAGAATGTATTTATGTATATATGTAAAGTGCAAAAGTAATACACAGTGTGACTAATAAGACAATAAGAAAATCTCAACAATCTGGTCGTCTTTATTTTCAAGCTTTTCCATGAATTTTGAAATTATACTTAGACCATGTGGTAAAAAAAATAATCACCCCAAGGTCCAAACCATACGTGAGGAATCGTATGAGCGAAAATTGAACACATTGAGAGGACATGATGGGGCGAAGTATCGCCCTATCCTTATTTGTGGCATCACTCCACGAATACCTCTGAATAGCAGCTATGTTAAATTATTCATCTTTTAGTTTCAATCAGCAACTTGACTCCAAAAACAAGTAGCTGAATTTTGAATAGTTTACTAGTGTGAAACAAATACGAAGAAGTAATTTAAAATATTTTTCGATTTGAAATACGATGCTCTTCCTTTTTATTTTATTTCTTAAACAAATCATTTAATTATGTGTATAATACTATAAATTGCATTGCTTTTCTTCTATGTACATTAAGTTTTTTTAAAAGCATATACTATTCGCAGTCTAACTTATGGACTGAGAGTATTTGATTAACTACGACTGATGAATAGCTAGTTTCTGATGTCATTTTATTGCTTTCAAATACTATGTATTCCACTGTTTTTTTTGAATAACTTTTGATAGGAACATTGTAGATACTTGTAGTTTTCATCATTCAAAAGAGAAGATTCTAGGCCATCGAAGTATATTGAAATTCAATCAGTCGACAATCGATCAATCACGTAAGTTCGTAATGGAGATTTTCGAAAACGATATTCTTGAAGTCACTTGTCTTTCGATTTTGACTTCTGGAAATGAAGTTCTTAGAAAAAGTCTTATCATTCTCGAACAAAAAAGAAGAAGCTATGAATGTCGTACTTGCATAGATCGAAAGAGAGCAACTATTTTCTATTGAGTAGTCTAATTCAGGATTTAAATCAATCTGTAAATATCTTCAGAATATGATTTTTCGAAAATCTCCATCAAGAACTCACTTGATTAGTCAATTGTTGGCTAAGAAAAGTTCGATGACTCAGAATTTTCTTTCTTAAATAATGAAAACTGGTAGTGTCTATGATAAAGTATGTTGTTTCTTCCTAAACTATTAGAACAATTCTGTTTTTGACTTACTTTTCATTAATGAAACATGGTAAACCAAGTGAATCATTAACAGAAAATAATTGTCTTGGTCCAAAACCATTTGAATTCATTGTACATTTTGATCGACAATAAATTTCATTATTTCGATAAATAACAAAACCACTATCACCAATATTAAGTGATGTCAATGTATTTTCTTGTTTATCAAGTGCAAATAAACATAATGTACTACTACCTATATATAAATAGATCATTTATTTTTCTTTATTCAGAAAAAAAATTGATCTTTTATAATTCCCAGGTCAAGCTCGGTACGTCGGAACCGATCGGTTCCGTTGAATTCCGGTCCAGATTTCGTCGGACCAGTTCCGATCAGTTTCCATCGGTCCCGTCGATTTCCTGGTCGAAATTTTGCGGAACTTAACGGAATTTTTCCGACGGAAACTGGACCGGAATCCTGTAGTCAAGAAATCGTCGGAAGTCAATGGAGCCGACCGAAAACCAACGGAATCTATAGGATCTGCTGCCGGAAAACAAAGGAAACAAACGGTTCCGGCGATCGGAATAGTGGACCTGGGAATAGCCAAGTCAACAAATAGTCGAAATATGAGTTTAATTTCCTCTTAAATTTACCTCGAACACGACTTGCTTCAACTTGTTGTATAGCTGAAAGAATAAGTCGTGGTAATTGATGTGGTTGAATGTTCGATTGATGAAGAATATTTCGACAAGCAGCAAGAATAGCTTGAGAAAAATCAGCTGGATTTATACCAAATGAACGATTACCACTAGCACCATCAGCTAAACCTTAAAAAGAAAATTTATTATTTATTTTATTTTATTTTTATTTTATTTTGTATATAAATAAATTTACCAACAAAACAATAATCACGATTTTCAACAATCATTCCAGCATCATCACCAAAATCACCATTAGTTAAATTTAAATTTGATAATGGTAATTGACCACGCATAGATTTTGATGCTCCATTAACAGCAACACGTAAACATAATTTTGTTTTTATTGTTGCTGGATATATTCTTTCATGAACAACTTGTCCATTAGATACTTGATAAGTACATGTACGTGATGATTTACGTTTATATGATGTTAAATTATTTTTATTAAGAAATTTTTCTTGTTTATTATCAATATATGATGTAACACGTGTATTATATTGTTTATTTGATAACCATATTTCATCATAAATTATTTTTGGTTCAATATGAAATGATGATAATTTTGTTTCATATTGACGATTATGTTGTGGATAAGTATTTTCTTGACTATTTTGATGAATATTTGAATAACGAACAAATTTATGTGTTAAACTATGATCAATTATATATATATATATGTCAGAAAAATTAATTATTTAAAATAAAAAAAGAAAAAGATTTTTTTTTTTACTGAATATTCTGATTGTTAAAATGAACTTTAAGTATTTTGCTTGTGTGATCATGAAAATAATATTCTACTCTTGATAAATTTATTATATGAACTATTTTAGACTAAACGAAATATATCAAACTTTCATTTGACTTTGATTCTTTATAAGAATTATTTTTCTTTAATTTTTAGAAAATAACTTAGAAGAAATAAAGATTTTAATTTTACATTTTGAATCCTAATCTTTCCTAACTAAAGTTTCAAACTTTTGCTTTTAGTCAAAATTCCCAATTTGATTTATTAAGATTTTTTTTGCTTGAAAAATCTTTATTACATCAATAGAAGGAATTCTTGACTTCTATTATTGTCAAAAAGTTTAAAAAGTAATCATCAAGCGCATTTATAAAAATATTTTTTTCATTTATTTTCTCATTATTAATTTTATAATTACATATCAATAACAATTACCATAGCTGTAACAATATAAATATATGTAAAAAACAAATGGAAAATGGATATCTTTACTATAAACCTATTTACTATTAATATTCAAAATATTATTTAATAGAGAATCAAAATTTACAGCAATTACACAGTCATTCGATTATTAATTTGTAGCATTTTTGACTAGAGAAAATTAGATATCTTTGAATTCTTTTGTACTGGACTATTATCACATGTATTGCTAAATGCATATGATATTTAAACAATAACGATGTATATCTATTTGTGCATTAAGACAGTTTTTTGAAATTTTTATTCACATACAAAGATTTCATTTTTCTATTGATTCCTCTTAGAAAATACTTAATCTAAATTTGAACAATAGCCAAAACGTAATATCTCAAGTAGGCTGATGTCAGATCTTTCCTATTCAAATTAGCAGATAAATATAACCGATAGGATTCTATGTGATTTGGTCAAGTTCGAGTCTTGAAAGGCCTCACAATACTTTTCAAGAAAACAATGAACTACATCACTATGAATAACTGAAAAAAGTGATTTTTTTCTTTTTGTTTTAGTAAAACTTCTATATTAATATTTTAACTTACGATTGTTCACTACTAGTAGTTGAATCATATTTATAATTATTCTGTGTAATTGTTTGATTACCATTTTCCATATATGTTCTTATAATTCCGTGAAATTTTTTACTTTTTAATACTTTTGATTGATCTTTATGTTCATAAAGAAATTTTTCTTTATTATCATTCATAATAATCTGTCGTTCTTCTTCGTAACGTTGTGATAAATCTTTTGTTTGATTCATCGAATTTTTAACAAAAATTTGATTAATTTGCCCTTGTCCGCTCTCTTTCTCTTTTTCTCTCTCTCTCTCTCTTTCTTTTTCGTTTTACTTTCGTTCACTTATCGAATGAATATGCATATACAATCGAACAAAATATATGAACCTTTTGCGCTTGATTGCACACATATATATATAGATATGTAAAAGTTTACATCATCGATTTATAACAAAAAAAAAGAAAAATGAAACTACATATAAAGGACAAAGAAAGAAAAAGAAAAAAAAAAACTCGAAATAACTAAACTTCTTGACGTAATGAAATATCCATATGTGTCCATCGAATCATATAGTAGTTTTTCTTTCCTATAAAAATCAAATTAATTTTTTGTATTAATTAGTCAAAAAAACAAAAACAAAGAATTTTTCTTCTTACCAACACGTAATACAGTAATCTTATTTGGTAATATATGAATACCAAAAACAAGTACAGCATGAGGATTTGCTAATTTTTTATGATTAACATAAACACCACCATCATTAATGACTTTAAGTGCAACTAATTTATTTGAAAAACATTTAGCAGCCATACATACATCGAGTAATGTTAATTCTAAAGAATATAAATGAATAATGAAAAACTATTTAATTTTCCTTATTTAGATTATCCTAATGATTGAAATTTCAAAAAATACGAATTGATTCATCATCTATCTTATTCATCAGATTTGACTTCTGAAAATTGTTTCTTGTTCTTAGTTTTAATAGATCATCTTTAAAAACAAAGCATTATACATAGATTGAAATTCGTGTTGACAAAAGTGTATGTCAATAGAAGAACATTACTTCAATAAAGAGAGTATATATTTCTAATTGTAACACATTTTATTATTATTAAATAAAATTAATCCGAGAACTTTTTGAATATTCTATTATATAACAGATAGATCGAAAGTTTTGAGACAAGATTTTTTTTTTGTTTATTTTCGAACTAGATTAAAGGTCAGAATGTCATCGCAAGATTCGAATATAGGCTTCGAAATTTCATCTGAGTATTTGCTTGAGATTATTGAATGAATTTTTTAAAAGTCTAAAATATTAGATTGAATAGTGTGAACCAATAGACTTCTACATGTTCTTTTTCAAAAATGTCAAATCTAATGAAGTCGAAGAAACACTTCTTTAGAGAATATTATATTGAACTAAGCTGTAATTTTTACATAAGAGGAAACTAGAATAAGAAAATTTACTTTTGGGAAGAAGCTTTAAAAAATGCTTAGCTATCAACTCAAAATTTCTTCTTAATAAAATGTTATAGAAAACAAGCCATAAAAAAATATATATAATAAATTCAATAAATCATATTAGACATTGAGGATTATATAATCTGATCAAAATCTTAAAATTGAATATCAAGATTTCTGATGGTGAGTAGGGGTCGACAAGCTCAGCTCAGAAGAACTGTTTGAACAGCTCTTTTGAGCTGAGCTGAACTGGTGAACCGGTTCGTTTGAGCTGTGTTCCCAAAACAGAACACTTTTGTTCCGTTTTCGGGAAATAATTCCCATAACAGAACAAAAGTGTTTTGTTATGGGAACACAGCTCAAACGAACCGGTTCACCTCAGCTCAAAAGAGCTGTTCGAACAGTTCCTCTGAGCGGAACTAAGCTGAGCTTGTCGACCCATAATGGTGAGAGTATACCTTAATTCCGAGCATATTATCCGTTCTTTCGATAAATTTTTTTCTAAACTTCGAATTCAATTAGTTCATTATTTTCTATGCTAAATCCATAAGATATATAGAATGTTTTTGGAAGATTCTAGAAACTTTTGAAATAATCTCAACACTTTTATTAATAACGCACAATATATTTTTCGTTATCAGAACATAGAATTATTTTTGTTACCTGGATTAAGTGACATTTGAATTGTTGGTACACTAACAGATAAACCATCAATTTCTTTTTCTGTTAAATTATGAAGTAAATCAATATTTTGTGCAAACATTGCTTGAGTACTACGTATAGCTGATTCAAGTCCTTTTTCTAAACGTGAAAAAAGAATAAAAGAAAAAACAAACCGATTTCTTGTTTAATGTAATCATTTAAAAAAAAAATAATTAACCTCCATGAACTAATAATGTTATTTGTTTAGCTAATTTAATTTGAGCAGCATATTCATGAGGTTTTGTCTTAAATTAAAAAAAAAAATAAAGTATTTTTAAGATTAATAAAATTCAAATATTTAAATTATACTCGATGTATTTCCATAAGTTGTTGAATTTCATTTAATGAAAGAAATGTAAATATTTTTAAATATTCTTCTACTTTTGTATCAGATGTATTACGAAAATGCTAAATATATATATATTTGTATAAAAAAAAGAAGAAAATAAAATAAAACTATTAACTTGATAACATTCATAAGGTGTAGAAAGATTTTCATCAAGCCATAATGCATTTCCAACACTTTTACCTAATTTTTCACCACTTTCATTTGTTATTAATGGTACAGTTACACCTATTAAGAATAGATAAAATAGAATTCAATTTAAAACAAATATATAAATACCATAACTATCTTCTTCGAAATTTGTCATACGAGATATAAAATCATGACCAGTTCTCATATTACCTATTTGATCAACACCACCAAGCTAAAATAAAAAAATTACTATTCAAATTTTAAAAACACTAAAAAATATTTTCTTTCTCATGTTATATTCATGATACTAAATTTTTCAAATGAAATATCAAAATTAACTTTCAATTTTATAAGTTAAACTCTAAATAATATTTTGCTTTAGAGCATAATATAATTTTCAATATTGATATATATATATGAAAATTACAGATGCTAGAATGTTGAACATATGAATTATTATATTCTAAAAGAATATTTTTAATTACTTGAAAACGACAACCATATTGTTTAAATAAACAATACCAATCATAAGCTTGATAAAGTTGATAACTAAATTCATTATATCCTAATCCATCATGAGATGTTTCAATACGAGTTTTAATACTAAATTTATTAATTATTAATATATTTTGTTTTTTTTTTCTGTTTCAAAAATGAAAAAAAAAAAACAAAACTTACACTTTACGTGAAAGTAATTGATTCATTCGAAAATGTGGACCATATGTTGAAACAAATGTAATTGTATTCATATTTTCATAAAATGATAAATTATTTACTATCCTTTTATTTAATATTAATTAATTATGAAATACAAAAAAAGTAAAAATTTTTATAAAAAATTTCTTACGTTAAAGGTAATAATTTTTTTTGTTGATCTTTCCAAAAATATTTTTCATGATTTTGAAATATCAATCGTATTAAACGTTCAATATTCTCAGTATTCAATACAATATCTTCATTAGTTAAACTTTGTTTACGTTCATGTAATCGTCCGGATGGATCACCGATTAATACTGTGGCACTGCCTAACTAAATTTAAAAAAAACAATCCAACAGACAAATATATATAAATATTTATCAAATGTTAGATAGAAGCAGAATCAATCATTTTTGCTAAAAATTCGACTCCGAGCTCATCCTTGTTCTAAATCTTTCGAGATCGAAACTATTCGGCGGTCTATATCTATTAAATGTATACTTACAAGTGCGATAGGTTGATGACCTGCTCGTTGCCAATGAAGTAGTCCAATTAGACCTATGAAATTATGAATTATTTTATTTGAATAAAATTGAAAATAAAAGAATTTTCTTACCAACTAAATTACCAATATGTAATGATTTTGCTGTTGGATCAAATCCACAATAGATTGTTTGTTTTTTTGTTGAAATAAGTTTTCTAAGATTATCACTAAAGAAAAAAAATATAAAAACGATTATTTATTTTTATTTTTTTTTTTGTCCTATAAATTTATAAGAAATAGAGCTTACTCTGTTTCAGCGAGATTATCACAAAAAAAGCCACGTTCTTGTAATTTAAATATATCACTAGAATCACTTGATAAATATCGTTTTGATATTAGATTACTAATAGAATAATAACGTATTAATGAACGTTTTATTATGATATTTATCATCTTGAAAATAAATTTAAAAAGAAAAACACAAAACATTAATTTATATAACTAGTATTATTATTGTACTGAGCAAAATCTATATTCAAATAATTAATATCATATACTTTTCTTTCATAGATGATAGAAATTTATATTTAAATTATTTTCGAATAATGTTTTTCTTTTTTTTTGGATCAATTCAATCAAAATAACACATTTAAATGATCTATCGAATACTATATAAATGATAGAAATACATATTTTCAAGAATGCCATCGAAAGCTACATCAAATTTCATTGAAAAAAGTCGATCCGTTCAGAAGTTGTGACGTTTTTAAGATTCGAGACGTTTTGAAAAAATTTCACCAGGAATTGAAAACCGCACAACTTCTGCACGGATGAATTTTTTTGAATGAAATTTGAAATCTATCGATGAAATTTGATGTAGCTTTCGATGGCATTCTTGAAAACGACATATCATTAAACATGTGAAACATTTTCTGGTAGGGTTCAGGAAAATGCTAATTTTTTTTGCAAACCGTATTCAAAATTTTTTCCGATGGAAACTCATCATTTGAGTCCAATATCAATGTACATAAGTTTTCATTTGGGACCCATGCTCTCTAACAGAGATTCAGAATACTGGGAAATCCTGGTTACGCCACTATCCAGATGAAACAATATTTATACTATGATGAATCTCTAATGAATGAATGTCAACCAGAGCTCTTCTCTATTATGCGATTATCCAAAAGAAAAGTTAGATCTATATTCAAACAGTCACTTCATAGACTTAGGCATTTTTGTGAATATACGGACAACCATGACCACTTTGAAAAAAGTTAGAAAATCTTCTTTGTTGCATCATAGACAATATCATTCAATAGAAAAAAAAAATTATTTTTTTATATCGAAATATAATTACATGATGACAATATGAACAATACAAAAGTATTTCATTATAATCATGAATATTTATATCATTAT